CWATTTTTTTGCATGATTTCACTTTGTTGACTTTACAAATTTTCATCAGCACTCAGCTAATTTGATTTTACTAATTTGATTTCATAATTGAATGTTATTTGTTTGTTTGCAATTGAATGGTCACAAGAGTTAATAATATTTGCTGAAATTATGTTTACCGTAGTTCGTATTCAGCTGTCAACTCTTAAAAGAAAAAATTGTTAATAATTAATTGATAATGGAAATATATGTATAATAGTTTAAATATATGTATAATATTTTAACTTGATAAGCATTATTAACTTCCAAGTCTTTGTTTTAAACAGAGATCTCTGCCGATGTTAACTTTATCCCCGTTGGTTGCTACCGCGACAATCACAACAAAGATGMACGACCCCTCCCCCAGTTAGTAGCCAATTATCGAGGGCCAAGCCAGTTAAACTGGACTGACCTGTATGGYAGTGTAGTYACGCCCTGTGCTAAGGTTGCCATGGASAAGGGTTTCGAGTATTTTGGCGTTCAGTTTTATGGAGAGTGTTGGAGCGGTCTCCATGGTGATGTGACGTACAACATCGATGGGGAATCGGATCAGTGCGTAGAGGATGTCGGGAAGGAATATGCTTTGATGGTATATAAGAAGATTACAACAGGTGAAACATGAAKTGATCGACTCCCCCCTGTCCAAAGTACTTTCCCCTCCCTCCTTCTTGGCCCCTMCTCCCCACCCCTTTCACTTCTTCTCCACTCCCTCCCCCCTCATGTGGTCACCATRTTCGACTGGTGAAATGACCGAGACATTAATAATATACTGAAACATTTTACAACATCATAGAGACTGAATGTGTTGCCTACAAGACTCTTAGTGAGTCAGACCGAGCCGTTACRTCGCCAGGAGGTACAAAGTGCGATCTATCCTTACAATCAGATGCATGGCATCGTTTTAATGGTGATGCTGGAACAGCAATGGCTCATTCATGTACACTTAAGAACCACTGTGGATCACTRCTGACTGGTTGGCTGCATGACGATCCTCCCAGTGTCCGTGAGGGAATAGTGGACAGAAAGGTCTGTTTCTCTTCAAGGACGACATCTAATTCTGGTACATGTTGCTCTGACAGTAAAACCGTTAAGGTTCGCAACTGTGGCAAGTTCTACGTGTATGGGAAACTGAAGGGAGCAATCGATGGATGTCCAATACGCTTCTGTGGAAACAAAGGGTAAGTGATGATCMTGGATGGTTTAGAAGTTCAGAATAAACCCTTTTTTAGTTATCTCTTTTACGCTGTGTTAGGCTCAATGACCATGTAATAATTTTATTCACTAACCGCCCGTGCAAATGTAAGAGATCTGTGAGTATAGAAGACAATGTAAATAGTCTATGTATCAATTGTACATATTGTTTCAATTATCAATTGAAACAACGCTTTTCTTTTTCTTCATAAGGTTGTAGACTACAGCATTTTCAAGAGGAGTCCGTCTTTAGATGAATACTGCAAGAAACAAAGCTAATATACATGTACGAAGTACTTAATGGGGGGCGGTTGTAAGAATAGAAATCTAATGAATTTATTATTATATAAAACCTCTAGGTAATTTATACGCAAATTGAATAAGGCAGCCATTRCTTGGCACCTTACTTTCCCTCGCACATATGGCTTGGAGTACTAGATAGAGTTAAAAATATTATTATGAATAAAGGGTGTAAAATTGACGAAAAATAAAATCATCTAAACACTGAATTAGTTTTCTCTTAGTTCTTCTTATCGAGAACTGATTGAACGATTTAAACAATGAAAAAAAAACTGAGAAACTGAGCTAACTATGCATAGCATGATGTATCATTGATAGCTAAAATTGGCCAATCCGGCTTTGGTTTTCTTTATCTCTTAACTTGTATCCAAAGGCTTTCAATCGACTAAAGGAGAAATTGGATTGGGAAATTAAAGTAATTTCTAGTCATGAGAGCATTAGTACATGTCAATCCCCWGCGTTCTAGAATCAATGATCACCGCTATCACATAAAACGATGCCATATTTACTTTGCTCCATGATCGGAATAGTATTTCATCAGCAGCCAAGCAACTTTGAATATAACGTTTAAGATTTCCTTTTGAACTGATTGCTACTTGAATATAAAATACAGCGGGGCCATTTTGAATTCTTTTTAGTGAGTTTTCAAGAAAAAAAATAACCTTTGAAGTGGTTGGATGATCGGCATTTAGCGATTCATCGCCCAGTACCATGCTTCCTGCAAGCAGATGATCAAACAGTCAAACATCAAGTAGATCAAGCTTGCGTCGAGATCATCTCTTAACGTCATAGCTACACAAACAGTTTTTCCAATGGATAGCAGTCCTGTATCGAGTACAATAGAGCTTTCTTTTCTCTTAAATGAAGACACATTGTTTCCTAGTCCCGTCGGGAGAATAAACATTTTTCTAATTTTCACTACGGAAATGGGAACTGCTCTCCAAGATAAGCACTTTGTCATTTTATTTGAGAGCGTCTGAGAATCACTGTGTGGACCCATCCCACCGCTTAAYGATCGCAATTTTGTCGCACTGATAATAATTGRTAAAAACTCCCGCTAATTAAGGGGTCCCAGACTTGGCACCGACTGTTTGAACAATTAGCAAATTTATAAGATGTTATTAACGAGAAAAAGTAATAAAACTTCTCACTAGCCACCTGCTTATTCAGTCTGTCAACAACGTTAAGTGGATCAAGACTCGGGATAAGTTGAATTGGACAACGACAAGAGAGCTGTTTTTCTCAGTAGCCAGGAATTWAGTCTTATTGCGATTACTGTAACTCAGGTCATTTGGAGTGAATGCACTGGCTGTCGTTTTTGGTAGCCATGTTGAGTTCTATGATCTTTGTTGTCGTCTTGTCGTTAGGGTGTCAAGCTACAGATGTTGGTAAGTTAAGTTATTACAATCGCTCTTATTAGCACGCCAAAAAAACCCTAAAAACTCGCTTGCACTAACGTTGTATTGTAACTTCTTGTATCTAGCATTATCGTTATTGTTTTCAGTTGTGATAAACCAAAAAATTGTTTTTTCAATAGAATGSCTCAATTTATTCAATCAATATTTGTCATTCGGTGCTTACCGGTCGGGTAGCCACTTGATCAAAAGATCATTTTAATTAAAACTAAAACAGGTAGATTTGTATCATCTTCCATTGCAAAATACATAAAAAGTACAAATCAAAATTGGACCGACTATAGAGCAGATAATTTTAATTAATTGATTGAAATCTATTATAATTTTTATTATATTCTCCTTCGTTAATTATGTCTACATATGCTTTCCATTCTTAGTTCCAAAGTACGAGAATATTGGTTGCTTCAAAGACAAAAAGGGTGCCCGAGCTCTACCCGATCTTCTTCGTAATTCCCGAGGAAAAATTGATTGGAAAAATGCCCGRTCGAGCTTCAATCGTATAATACAAAACTGTTCGATATTAGCTCGAGAAAAAGGCTTCAAGTATTTTGGGATTCAGTWTTATGGAGAGTGCTGGAGCGGTCCGAATGTCCATCAAACATTCTACAAATACGGAAGATCGAAACAGTGCTTAGGTAGCGTTGGGAAAGGTTGTGCTAATCGTGTTTACATGCTGGTTGGACCAGGTAAAGTATATAAACTAAATATAAAAAACTCAGACTTATTGACTGACAGACAGTCTGACAAWCCAGCGTCCAGCAGACTGCAGAAACTATGCAAACRGACAGAGGGTCTGACAGACCAACAAACATGTACCGCCAGACCAAGAGTCTGAGGCCGACTGATAGACAGACTGATAGACCTTAACAACAGACCTCCAAACTGACAGTTCTATAGACAGAGTGTAAACCCCCGATAGATCAACCGTCTGACAGGCCTACTCATTAATATGATTGACCCAGGCTATCTGACTGACAGACACGTACACTTTCCTAACGAAACGAACTGACAGACCGTCCGACGGACCGACGGACCCTGTGGCGACCTGTATAGTACATAATTGACAAGACAGACAGACAAAAGGTATACACTCACTAAAAATGATAAGAAAATTTTACCATGGACCCTGAAAGACCTGATAGTACACAATTGACAAGACAGACAGACAAAAAAGTACGCACACAACAGTGATAAGAAAATTTTTCTCATTTTCAGGCCGTACACAATGCTCAAAGGACAATTACCACAATCTTAGTGAGAAGGGTCGTTCAATAAAATACAAAGGGGATGAACGTAAATGCGACAACCCACTCCCCCACGGGAATGCCTGGTATAGATTTACTGGCGATGCAGGTAATACAATGGCAACATCCGCTGGATCCAAACTCTCGTGTAACACAATCAATCCTGGTTGGATGAGAGGTGCACCACCTGACGTAACATCAGGACCAGTAGATAGAACGGTTAGTCCCTAATCTAATCATCCCCTTATGACGTCATGTAACGTTACAGTATCAGGAGTATGATTCTGTTATCAATACCACAATGCATTTCGCCAAAACAAATATGACGTCATTCGTCGAAAATACATTGTTCATCAAAAATCCTTGAAAAAAATTATGGACTAGRCCCCCTAATCATTAGTTTTCAAATCTTATTTTGTAAAGCGTTTGTTTGTAATGTAGCAATAATCAGAAACTCTCTTGTTTAGTGCGTTTATTAAATGGTTTGTTTAAGGTGTGTTTTGTGTCCGATGAGGCCTGGGAGAGTAATGATTGCAAGTACCAGGTCAAGATTCAAGTCATGAATTGTGGTCATTTCTTTGTGTACAAACTCCCTGTTGCTCCAAGATGTCTGCTGCGCTACTGTGGTGCTTTGAATTCTTCTTTGCCAGGTGCGTCAATAAAGTCGACAAGAAAATGCGTTCAATATGCCACGCGAAAACCACTCCATTTTATAGAGCAAACCACGATGGGATGTCGCTTATGATCACTTAAATCACCGTCCACAACTAATGCGCATTCTACAACAATTGTTATCTTATATGCATTAGAGAGATTGTAAAGATAGCAACATCATACTTACTTGTTTATTCACCTGCCGGATAAACTTGTCTTTAACCTGCATTCATGTCTTTTAACTTTTCTAGTTGACTTCTGAGATGACAAAAACGAAGAACAGATCTAGAGTAGGATTAGGAATAGAAGAGACATTCTGAAATTACAGCCATCTTACAAACAGTTACAGGTTGCAATAAACTGATGCATCATGATATTGTGTCCTTGTGTCCTTGTGTATAATAGTCATGTGTAATTCAGTCAACTCTCGAGCGATAGTTCGGACGAGAACCAGCTACCAAGATACCTCGTTTAGTGTGCACAATGGCGAGATTCTGTTTTACAGTCAGTTTCTTTTCATTCGGTTTCTTTACGCTATTAACGTTATATAGATCAGAGTTGATGTCTGCTATGAAGGTTTTCTGTACACATTGAAAAATGAATTAACGTAAATACGTGTTGCGTACTAAGAGAGTTGACCACGCATACAGAAAACAATGGATTTCAGTGTGCTGTATAATCTATGAATCGTTGCGCGTATATACATCATCATTTACGTTTACGTGAGATTTGATAATACGCACGGAAAACAATGGAAAAATATATATGACATCATTGTGTATTACGCATAATAACATGCGTATTCCATTGCGTACTGAAAAATACTTACGTACAGAAAACAACGGACATTTAATAGCTACGTATATTTCGCGCGTAAGAGACGCGATTGTTGACGCGGGGTAAAAATTACTTTTACAGATCATTGAAGAGCTACAAAAGTTTTCTGTAAACTACCGGTACAAATTAATTAAAAGTACACGCTTTTACACACTCATTTGACAGAATAATCGAAAAAAATTGCTCAAAGAACCATTTACTCCACAAACAAGACTCTAATCCTCTTATAAACCTTGGTAATTGTGGACTTTAATCTCATATTGCTTGAAGAGAAATCCTAAACATTGTAAATAAAGATAAGATTTCAAAGACAAGCGAAAKGCAAATTGGAAAATGGTTTGTTTACGTTGCTATGGTTATAGTACTTGTGAAAATGAGATCGAAAAAAAAAAACGAATAAAACTGGACATGAATACCATCCAAGGGGACAATAAACACTATTAAACCTATGACACAAAGTCAATCTGCTATCGAATCTGCTAAGGTTTCATAGGCCAAATAAACAACAGCAATATCATAAATAATAGCAGTTCATCCTGGTAATAAAAACAATCAAATTCAAATTACTTCTTAAAATAGCGTGAAGTACATGCATACGGTCCGTGTAACACCTACGCGCAACGTAACGTAAGTTTTATTTTCAAAGCTTCTSAACGTGCAATGGCGAGCTGTAGACGTAACGTAACACCTACGCTTGTCGCAAAGAATAAAAAAATACGAATTCGTCTCTTAGTAATCTTATGTATTGTGCAAGTAACGCAACACCACGCCCTTAATGTACGTAAAACCACGATATTCCACGTGGAGTTCATACTCCTCTTGATATAAGATTACTATTTGATCAACGTAAGCAGCCCATACGCTCCACGCCCATAATGTACGTAAAACAGCGATACACGTGGAGTTCGTACTCTCCTTGATATAAGATTACTCCAGTTACTGTTTGATCAACGTAAGCAGCCCATACGTAACGTAGCATCGTCCACGACACTTCTGAAATCTAACCTGAATTGTGCGATTGCATACGCTCCACGCCCATAATGTACGTAAAACAGCGATACACGTGGAGTTCGTACTCTCCTTGATATAAGATTACTCCAGTTACTGTTTGATCAACGTAAGCAGCCCATACGTAACGTAGCATCGTCCACGACACTTCTGAAATCTAACCTGAATTGTGCGATTGAGTACGTACGTGACGCAACACTCCCCCGCGTAACGTAAGGAGTGCCATTATCAAACCAGACCGTCGTCAAGTCATTTTCCGTGTTTAGCTGGCTTCACTCATGAATTAGTCTATTGATACCAAAGATTTCAAAGACTGCAGTGTTGCAGCGCTTGAAGCTTAATTTGCGCATACTTGATCAAAACTATTATACGTGSTCTTGCGCTTAGACGACAGATCTCCGTAATTATTGTGATAAAAAGGGTAGGACAGTAACTGACAAAAAATAATAAATTGCTTCAAGTTGGTTGCCTATCCATACTTGAGACGTTAAGTCTTTTCATTTTCACTCCGGACTGGTATTGTTATAGTGTCAGTAGACAGACGTGTCCCACATGGTCGAGAGCGAAAGACAGATACAAAATATTCAAAATTCATTGTTTTACACGAATTACTATGACATTGTCAGTGATTTGTACACATAAATCTGAAAATCATTCAAGAAATGATACAAATGAAATTGCTTATCGTACATATTGTGAAAATATAAGATCATTRTTATCTAGTGGTGTCAGACGTAGGCGATCCTTTTCTCCTCCGCGCCGTAATGTCGTTTGTTTTATCAACAATTCAAAGCTTTTAACAATCGTTTAAGATTCTCTTTCACTTCGTCATATGTTAATGTTAGTCTCGCGGTGTTTACTCGGATGACAGAATGTCAAAACACGTCTTCCTTGGAACCACTTAGCTCAAGGACGCACAACATATAAAAGACACCTCAATCATTGTCTACATGGTCAATAACAGCCTTACAATGCGACTCAATCTAATTCTTGTGGTACTAGTTTACTTGTCCGGTGTTAAAGGTAAAGTTGAACTTGTTTTTACTTGTATTATCATGGGKTTAGTGTTAAGCAAACTTCTTCAATTGATCATTTACCGGGTGAACATCCCATTGTCTTTTGCTTCAGTGCGCCTTATCAGTGTTTTTTACAATTTTTAACTGTTTTAATTTGCTGGTTGTACCCTTTTATAAATTATTATGGATTGGGATATGTTTTGTAGATAAAATAATTCTTTTATATCCTTTTAATGGTCTCGGTTGACACTAAACTTGAAGAACAAAGGATAGAGAGTAACATACTTGCCAAAAAAACAGCTCATGGAATTAAGCTACAACACAAATGTCCTGAAATCATTGAAAACATGAAAAGGCTTTAGATTAGCAAAATGAGTATAAAAAAATAAGTATCTAGGTTCGTAATTACTCAAACTTGCCCAAACTTATAACATAAACGAATTTTAAACATGTTTAACAACCTTAAATAAACTAAGATCCTTCACTGGTGAAACACCTTGAAAACAAATTTTACACTGAATTCACTGAACCAAGAAAACTGAAATATTGTAAAAAGGCTAAAGCGACAAACGCTGAGAGAACAATAAGATGACGACCTACAGAAGAATCACTTGTTGTTCGGATACTTAAACACTAAGATATAAGACAAACAACATTATGTTTGAATGACATTTAGAAAAGAGTAAACGCTYTCACCCGTATCTCGAAGTTCAGCGTTTAATCTTCAATGGTTTAGATTGGYTCTTAAAACKTTGTTCCCAAACCGAATTYGCCCCTCTAAAAGCCACACCCAAACTGTATCAAACACTTCTAAGTAACTGAATTCGTTGTTCTGCATAAATAAACTTTTATCTAGGAAAATTCAATTATGACACCGCAATGAATATCAATTTCACTTCTCATATTTGCATTTCATTCTCATGAACTAAATTATCAAAAAACATCTTAAACGATGCGTTCAGTTTTGGGGGATTTATTTCGTGCAAGGCCATGCTTAGATCGTTAAGAGCAAAATAAATCTCTTCTCGGTGGTACTCAAGCATAAGAGAGCTATGAAGTCAATTACCAGTCAGCAGCCAGTACCAATCATTGATCGACTGTCAGGACAAATAGGAGTCTTTCCGGAATATTAAGAGATGTCGGACATGTCGTAGTCTTGTTGACTTTTAACTATTCTAAATCAATTAAATAAAATATACAATTGCTTTAGCAAAGGCAACACCACGGCACCCGCAGACGAAAGGCTGCCACAATAAAGCTACAATTACATTATCAAATCAATAGATGTCTAGAAGAATTGATCTTCTTGTTAATGATCAGATTTCCGCAAGCAAAAGCTAGTCATCTGTGATTTTCATGATATTTTTCCGCCAACTAAAATATACTGCGATGAAAAAGATTGCGTCTGATAGGTCAGATCAGATTGAAAAATGAATTACAATAACCAAATACAACACAATTTATGACAAAAAAAAGAAAAAGGGAAAAAAGGAATTTTAATTCTTAAAAAAAAAAGACAAAAAGAGAGAAAGAGACTGCTYAATTCAATAGAATCATTTTCATCCGTCTGTGAAATAGGAATTGTACTATTAAATACTATTACCCCCTATTAGCTCCCAATAGTTTAACTTATAACATGAGACAAAGTAATAACTAAAGGCAAACAAGCGGTTTTGATTTTACCTTTTGATAGCCTACTACACCCTAATAGTTACTATTAAACACTGACTAGTATTAAATGTTTCACAGACGGATGAAAATGACTCTAACGACAAAATCTACTTGYATTTTTACCAACAGCAAGCCAAAACTTTGTGAGTGTCGGTTGCTACCGAGACAAAATCCATGACAGAGCCTTCCCAGATCTCATCGCTAACTTTAGAGTGATAAAACCGACAATCGACTGGTCTAATATTACCAAGACTATCTACCATTGCGCACGCGTAGCTCAGAGCAAAGGATATGTATATTTTGCGGTTCAGTTCTGGGGCGAATGCTGGGCAAGTCATAATGGAAGCAAAACGTACGACAAACATGGCGAGTCAGCGGAATGTYATAAAGGAGTTGGAAAAGGATACACGAACCACGTTTATAGGAATACAGGACTTGGTAAATATGGAATATTAATGATTATTAATAATAATAAATAATAATATTACCAGGTTCTATAATTTTTCAGCAGAAAGTTTTATCACAATTCAGGAAAAAAATACTGACTTGTCGTACAACATGTTTGTTGGCCTTAGTAGTTTTCAAATCGACATTTCGCTAGATATAGAYCTTCACTATCATCCATTAGTATAAACATACTAATGGTCTATCACTCATACTGCGCTGTGATTGGCTACTCTACTAATGGTCTAATTTGTGATAGACCACTCGCGGGAAAATCAATCTCATTAATAAATTATTTTAAGGATATTTCAATTTGTTTTCATTATTTGACCGATTAGTATGTTTATACTAAAACAATTAGACCTCTCGACCTCGCGGATTCGGCCTCATGAGCTATTAGCTCGTAGTCCACTCGACTTCGAGGTCTAATTGTTAATTAGAATCTTTCTTTGATCTTTACAGAAAACGAATGTGATGGATACTCGGTACTGAGTTCCCCTGAYCGCTCTATGACATACCAGAACACAAAGGGTGCACCTTATAAGTGTGATGACAAAATGCTCGAAGGATGGTTCAGGTTCCAGGGTGGGGCAGGCAATACCATGGCGAACTCATGTGTGCTACAAGAAAAATGCGGAACTCTTGTTTCTGGATGGCTAAAGGTTAGATTTTTGTATATATCACTACATAAAACTTTGTTCCACTGCCGTGTAACCTAAATTTAAAAAAAATCATCTGAAATCACTTCACAAGTTTTTACATCCACTGAAGACACTTCCAGTTAGATAGTTGTAGCACTGACGGAGAACAAAGATATGATATGAATATGAAGACCGCATGGCACTATGATAAACACGATATAGAAATGAAAGAAAGTTATAGTGCTTAGAAGGAGGCAATTCCGGGAGAAGTCCCTTAGGAATAAATTAGGAAAAATTAATTTCCGACCTCGCCGGGATTCGAACCCACGACCTTCGGATTTGTACACCGATGCTCTACCAGCTGAGCTACAAGGCCAGACTGATACTTTGACTTTTCCTGGACACAGGGTTCCCTTCCAAGTCCAAACCAAGGAATCGTTCCTGGTAAAGTGTGTTATCAGTATCTTGGTACTTGCTGTAAATGGAATGAGCCGATTTCCGTACGGAACTGTGGACGATTCTACGTTTACAAGTTAAAGAAACCTAAATATGGATGTCCTTTTCGCTACTGTGGTAATGGGAAACACTGAGGTAAGTAGCTTAATAACAAATGCCGAAATAAAAGAAATTAGAATGGAAAGTAATGCACAGCTAATAACATAACTAGACTATGGATATCTAGGGTGAACCTAGCGTAAATCGTCTCCTTGACAATGTTTGTGGAGTACATCCCCTCCATGAGTGAGTGACACCCATCCCCGAAGTGGATCTTTTTGTATGCATATGAGACGGCTAAACTAACCTATAACCTTCTTCATTTCTTACAGTATGTTTTCATTTCTACAGAACGAAAGGACAATCTCAGTAAAGAGAAATCGAGCCAGATGGAAGCCTGTAAGAACATCTTTAGGTTTCAGAAAGAAAAAACAACAACACTGAACAAAATAAAAACATTACATTAGCGCTAAAATTATAAGACTAGTTTCTCCAATTCTTCGGGTTTTATCTTTAAAATAAAGTAATGAAAACTACTTTTGTTGTCTAATAAATATAATCATGATATTATTAAGTTTCAGGAAGAGCCGACGGGGTCTGTTCATTCTAAATAACTGTTCTTGTACGATTTTTTCCTGGGAAAGYGATTTTGAGCTACATTGTTGACAATCTCACAAGCAAATGCGGCGCCATCTTTTTTTTTGTTCCTGGCAAACGTTTTTAGGTCAAAAAAGGTTTAAATATATAATGTATTTATGGTCAAAAACGGCTTATATTTTTTTTTAGTTATAGGAAAGTTTTATTTTCCTGGCAAAAAATCTTAGAAAGTATTCCGTGCCTGGAGAGTTATGTTTCCTGAATTTCTCGCTGGCAACCAGTTGTGACTTACAGCTGGCTGGGACATAAGAACAGATATATTTCCGAAATAACCGAACCCATCGCCTCCTCGTGAAGTTTCTCTGCTCGTATGGTGTACTTCTTTCGACCTTCATGAATATAATTAAGTTCCGCGCAAACTATTTCTTTTTTGAATTTATCTAGTATAGTACCCCATGAATACCCATGCAGAAGGTAAAAAATAATGTTCATGCCTAAAAGAGATGATGAGCACCCACCATCATGTTCACGATTGTTTACCGAAGGAAGATACAGAAGTTTCCGGCTGGATGCACGTGACCTTTGTTTTCATGACGCTGCAATCGACCAAGAGAAACTCGCAATGATTTATGTTTCAGTAAGAACAAATTTAACAAGTAAAATAAACGAAGAAATTTACATTAAAAGAAATCACTTAATTTATCAAAATTAAAAAAGCGCCCAGCTTTAATTTGGGGTCAGGCAATGTTTGACGTCAGAGATATAGACAACAGCTCCAGGAACCCCCGCGCGTTTGGGTATTTTTTATGTAAATTTTGAACAAAGTTTAAAACAACAACCAATATTAAGTGATATAATTCTTATTTCAAAGGGGACTGACAATTTCTTCAATTTGAATTACAGGTAAGGCATTGTTATTGGAAACTCTTCAAATTGTCATATTTCATGATGTGGCCGTGGTGGTATTTTTGCAAAGAATGACTCATGAAACTCATGAAATACTTCGTCATAGTTTGATAATCATACGAAATTTATGTAGAACATCAAGAGTCCACTCTTCTGTTTTAATACTGAAAAGATTATGTACATGGACGAGTGAGTGATGAAGTTAGTGAAATTTTCGGTGCTGGAAACTGGTTTGTGTTAAGGCCTGTCCATGGCTATAGTTGTATATTCCGATGTATATGCACTAAAGTTTCGGGTGAATTTTTCTCGACTAACGTAAACAGTAATCGGTGTATTGCTATTATGGCGGGGGAATTGTGGTGGATTATATCCTTATCTATGACTATGGTCAATCCAAAGAAAGTCTGGATAACTTTTATCCTCTCTTTGTACAACAGCCTCGGTTGAAAGTATCTGATAACAACAACGTCGACAAGTCTACAAATTTGACCTTAACAACTATAAAGGCATTATTAATTTTGTCTTCTCTATTTCTTTTTACAGTCAACTGCATTAATTCATATCATCATCCAATAATTTCAACAATCAAGAGCAATGGTTGACACAACAGAAGCTCGAATTGCACCTAGTTGGCAAGACAGACTTGAGAATGATGCCTATAAAAACTGGTTAAAAGTTGGCTATGGCATGCATRTAGTATGCACAGGAATACGACCATATATAGAAAGAGAATCAAAGGYATTTCATGGATCTCTCCTGACTAAGGCAATGGCTCCCTGCACTTGTGTTCATGTACCGAGCCGTCGTCCGAATGCCTTCCATGATATGGCAGTTTGTGACTGGGCCAAGGACCTTAAACATCATCACAACAAGAGAAATCCAACTTGGAGTCAGAGTGAAGGAAGTAAATGGACCGATCCAAATGTAGGTCACTGGGAAGTTGCAAAASTGTATATGCCATTTGGGTGTGCTCATGGAAAGACTAGCGCACAAGAAACTGATGCAACAGGACTTTTGAATCTTCTTCAATTCTGTGATCATTACGTTGTTGACAGAACGAGTGTAGATGCATTTAAAACTACTCGAAACAAMTGGGCACATGCTTCTCAACAAGAACTCAMTGATGATCAAACAAACGATGCATTCACAAGCATGAAGGACTTACTAAATGATGCAGAATTTCTCRCTGACACTGATGCTATGGAAGCTTTGGGAAAGATAACAGATCTAGAGTTGGAGACTTTAGTCGAATTTGAGGAAAATATTGCTGGTATTGTAGAGGTAGTGAATGAGGATCTTAAGGAATATATGGAGACAATTCTTCAAAAACTGAATTCTCTCAAAGAGCAAGAAGATGCTAATGCAAATAACATAATTGACGAGATACGAGAAGTTAAGCAAATCCTGAAATCTAAGGCATCAGTATGGAAGAATTGCTGTAAATGTTTTCATGCAGCGTGGACATTTCTGAAAGCCATGCCARAACAACTTGTCGTTATTTTAATCTTGCTAAGTTGTTCTTTGTGGTTAAACAATGACACCGAAGAGATTGGTAAGCAGTTAACTTCTGATTAATTTTGCACGAACATCAATAAAGTAAACCAATGATTTGTGATGGCGGCTGGATAATCAACAATTGCATGTTGCATTGAAGATTATTGAACAAATAAAAAGGTTAATTTTACAATGTTACCTTTTCTTTTCAGGATGTTTATCCAATATTAATTTTGATTACCTGGAGCTGAAGCAGTTCGATTTTACAGAGTATTTGCACAGTGCAAGACAGGATTTTGTTGGTCGCCAATGGCTGTTCAAGAAATTGACTGACACTTTGAGGAACAGTAATAACACAGAGAACGGTTTCCTCATTATTGCTTCACCAGGATTTGGCAAGTCATCACTCATGTCCAATCTTATTTGCACCAAATCATCCAGCCATTCAATCAATACTCAAATACTTGGATACCATTTCTGTATTTATTCAGATAAGACAACAACAAAAAGTGGCAAAATTGTTCAAAATTTAGCAAATATGATAGCATTTAGGATAAGGCCCTATAAAGATCTGTTAAGTAAGAATTCCTTTCTTCAAAGAGTATTGAAGATGGAATGCACCAGTGATCCTTCTGGATGCTTCCAACAGGCGATACTTACTCCATTAATAACACTTTCCAACGATTACAATTTTTTCAGGGAAATGTACATTGTTGTTGACGCTCTGGATGAATGTATCGATGAAAATGAAAGCGACAAAGATGCATCAATCATCAATATTCTTGGTAAAAAGTCCAGACGTTTCCCCAAATGGCTAAAAGTCATTGCAACGGCTAGAAATGTTTCATCTATCAAAAGGCAATTAAAACATTTTAATCAAATTGAATTATTTCAAGAAGACCAAAGAAATTTACGCGATATTCAGGACTTTTTAACTTGGAAATTTATTGCTTTTAATGAAACGATAATTTCGAAAATGGTGAATCAAAGTCAAGGAAATTTCCTATACATAAGACTTGTATCAGAGCATATTGAGCAAAACTGGTTCAATACTGAAGAATGGAAATCGCTGCCAGCCTCAATTGAAAGCGCTTACCAGGATTTCTTCGACAGGAAATTTGGTTCAGTTGAAAAGTTCCGCGCTGCCCGAAAGATTTGCGAAATTCTTGTCTCGACACTACATCCACTTACAGTTGCCGAAATCTACGATATCCTYCATTTCGAGAATAAAGATTTTCAATACGAATACAATTTCATGCGAATACTAGATGACTTTTCTGATTATCTCCGCTATACTGGTGAAAATAAGTACTTAAGTTTCTTTCATAGCTCTCTGCAAGAATGGCTGACAAGTGACACAAACAGAGGGGGAAAATATTTCGTAGATCAAGTTAATGGAAACCAGCTCCTTGCTCAGTACTTTCTTCAAAAAGTTAACTCTGTCCCAGTTAGCGTACAATTTGTTTATCAACTTGCCACATATATTGTAAGGGGAGGTAACAGGACACATCTAGTGAACAGGTTTTTAAACATCGATCCCAAGCTTCTGACAACTGCCGATACCGCTACAAACATGACAGCCCTTCACCTAGCTGCGGGAGACGGAGACGATAGACTTCTGAAATTGTTTTTAAACATATTCAAAAACCTTGATATTGTGGACGGCAAAGGGAGAACACCGTTGTTTTATGCTGTTAGGTCGGATCTTATTAATAATGTCCGAGAACTGCATATTTTGGGAGCGTCCTGTCATGTTATTACAAGACTACAGAGGCAAGAAGAAGGGACCAGTGAAAAAGGTCAAATCAATGACTGTGAGCTTCAAATGTGTGGATACAATTTACTTCATGTAGCAGCCCAAAAAGGTCATCACAAAATTCTAAAATATCTTTTAGAAAACAACATTGCTATTTCTATCATGTCTGGGACGAAGGAGAAGGCAATCCACATAGCAGCTAAGTTTGGTCACATCGAAATATTGAATACCTTGGTAGAGCATGGTGAAACGCTTGATCATGTATGTTTCTATAATGCTGTCTCCAGACGGCAATTGTCGGCAGTAAAATTCCTTCTCCAACATGGAATAAAAGATGAATGTAGAAGTTGTGAAATATCTGCTAAACAGAATGTGCCATATCAAAGATCCTGTAATACCGCATTGCACATTGCTGCCATTGAAGGGTTTCAAGAAATAGCAGATCTTCTTCTAAACAAAAGTGAAGTGAATGCATTAACCTGCGTCAATTTATTTTGTAGAGAACCGCTTCATGAAGCCATTAGAAATAACAATTATCAAGTGGCCAAGGTTCTTTTACGATCAGGAGCTAATCCATCAAGTCTCTGCAGCCGACGTATCCACACAGATCATATGACAAAAGAAGAAGTCGATGAAATTTGTCCCTGTGGATTTTCGTCCCTTCATATTGCTGCTTATTACAGATTTCCTGAAATAACTGAACTTCTTTTGCAATACAAAGCTGACTATAATGCCGGGGACTGCGATGACATGCAACCTATTCACATTGCAGCTTGTCGTGGTCATGGTGATGTTTTATCAGTACTTGTTAAAAATGGAGTCGACATTAATAGTAAGAACTCCAAGGGAATGACAGCGACTCACTATGCTTGTAAATGTACAAAGGGACATATTTTTGAGACTCTTGCTGCACTAGGTGCTGATGGGTATGCAGTAACGACCGACAAAAGGCTACCTTTAGACTTCATCTTTCCACACTTCAAATTTAACAGCGAGCTTTTTCAATTTGCTGATTCTTATGTTCAAAATCCAATAGACCCTATAGATTTTAGCGCAATGTATTCAGTAGAGAAAAAAAGTGGAAGTGCGTGGAATAAAATATGGACTAAATTCTTAATAAAGTTTCCAATATCAGAGCAACAAGAATTAGATGCAGTACGAGACATTACTTTTAAAGTTACAGTGGAACAATATAAAGAAATATTTGCCTCAAATGTCCCACAAATGATCTTTGCGAGTCATTGGTTTTCCTATCCTTTAGCTTCTGTTATTACCTCCGTAAATCATAATTTAGACGTTAGTATGGCCTTGCGTCAACTTAATGCAGCCAATAAAGGTATCTTCACGATCTTTTGGCAAGACAATCCTTCTGATTGTGCGAGATTGATAGAAAAAATACACGCAAACATGGTATATGCAACAGATGTACTACTATCCTATGTAATCAACGTTAATTGTGAAACATCGGGTTTAACTCCCATCCTTGCATATCTTAAAACTGGAGGACGTCATATGGCTAAAGTTTTAGCAAAACACGTTGTAAAAATTAATATCAAATGCTGGGAAAAGTTTGAAAACTCAACTCTCCATCTTGCTGCGTATCATAAGTTGCATTATCTTCATTACCTCACGATATTCCAGGATCCTGATGAATGGGAAAAATACTTACAGACAAAAGATGCCCTATTTGACTATCTATTTGACGAATATGAGAATGTATCAAAAGAAGGAACGAGCAGAATAGAGCGAGTTAGAGACGGTCCTGTCACTAAAGCTATTAAGTCTCATCCTGAAGGCTTTAAAATCATAGATAATTGTATGGACGATGAAGGTTACACAGCTCTTCACCGAGCAGCACAAGGTGGAAATGTTGTTGCAGTGAAACACTTTTTGGACTGGGGAGCCAACCTTAGTATAAAAACTCGCGATACCGAATTCGATCCATTAGTTTTGACAATACGGTATGCCATTAAGTACCGGCCACATTATAATTTTCACAAGCCAAGCAACTTAACATCGCTAGAAATTGATTTTGCATCCTTAACTGCGAATGTTATATTGGATTATTTGACCAAGAATAAGCCTTTAAACATTGGATGTGACAAACAAAAGACAACGCCTACAATACTACACTTGGCGGCTACTCGTGGGATGTGGAGGTTTATAGAAAAGCTGTTTGTAGCGAGAAATCAATCAAAAGTCGTTGGCTTGGACGCAAATTGCCCCACAAAACATGGAATCACTCCTCTTTACTTGGCCAAAGTATATGGCGGCAGCGATTGCCAATGGGACAATCCATGGTGTAAAGTTATTGATGTTCTCCTTAAATACGGAGGAACAGAGAAAATATTGCCACAAATAGCAACAGAATACTATGTCATCCTGAATTTCATGTTTCACCAACTACCCAGACAATTGGACCTTGAATCAGATGTCAAAAAAACATTACAAGACAGTTTATCATTATACATGTACAAAGATTGTGAGCCTGATGTCTTCTGGGACAATATCATGCAACAACCAGAACCTTTGTTTGAAGAAATCAATGATTTCATTTCATCCATCAAAACAGCTAAGGAAAAACACAATGAGCTCGATGGCAATGGCCATATGTGTGCGTCATTAACAGATATGGCAATGAGACATATGTTTGTATATGAGAGCAAAGAAAGAAGCACTCCTTCCACACCACAAGATATTGAGCTTCAATCACAAAAAGCACAAAAGAATTCAAATGGACACGCGAGAGAAGAACTTCCAAAATGTGGTTCTGTACCATTTATTCACATGTTTTGTGGAACTCTGAGTTTTTGCTCAGAACTTTTCACAGAAGACATAAAAAGTGTTGAATTAGAACTACATCACAATTATAAATCTTTTTTAGGCCGCTACAGGAAGTACAACATGGAAATTAAAATACAAAAAGCAGCAATGGAAATAATAAAAGCAGCATATTATGATTATTCMGAAAAAGAAAATGAGAAGATAAGAAAGTATGAGAACCAAGCAAGATGCCGTTTTGGAAAAGCTACATATGTGTTTGCTAGAAAAAAGTTTCTTTTGAAAACTGTGAAACATTGGAACCATCAAGTCAACGAAATGTCTAAAGGTCTCCGCAGTATCTCAGCTTACATGCTACAAAAGCTGGGGCTTATTTTGAGTGACGACAGGCAAAAAATGACTGAACTCATTCTGCAACTTGCACAAGAAGATTCTGTAGTGGACCATGAATACCTGAAGATGCTGAGATTTAGCAAAGCACCAATGTATGACAGAACAATGTATGACAAAAACGATGTATGACAGAGTAATAAATAAATAAAATGACAATAAACAATAGAAAATGGGAAAGCCATAATAAAGTAATAATTGATAACTATAAGACCACTTTTAAATTCTGGTCTTAGAAGTTTTCTTGCAACAATTTTCTCTATATCACATCTTTGCATTATTTTAAAATAAAACGTCAGACAATATTATAAGGTTCTAATGCGAAAAATCTAACAAGCATTCAATGCAAATTGTTCCATCCTTCCAGTTTCTGTAATATGATCACCAAATTTGTATTGGTCCCTCAGTGTTAGGTGTACAGTAGCACAGCTATACCAGTATAAAGTATATCAACACATATCTTTCTTTAAACATTGTTTTATGGATTTATTTTAATAAAGTATTCAGGAGCTAAAATGTGTTTGGATGTCATTTTGAATGCAGTGATATAGTCATCTAGGATAAGCATCATGAATTCAAAACAACTAAATTACTACATCAATTATATTAACTGACCTACAAATGTACATGTACAAATGTATGTGTTTACATGTACCTTATTTTAAAATTTTGAACTTTTGGTTAACTGGGAATAAAATCTGATGAAGTGCAACCAAAAATAGATGCACTATAAGGGTAAAAAGCTGTAAATCCAGCCAAATAGACTACACCGCAAACAGCCAATGAGGCAGGAGGCTTTTCAACTCTTCTTAGAGAAAGCCGAATTTATAATAAAGAAACTGTTTTGTTTAGTATTGCATGTATCATACAATTGTACATTTAGTTAGTACATTGACATGTCTAGCCTTTCCCAGTTTATTTACCAATATTGTCTTATTTCCAGATTTCTTCAATAAAAGGGGATCCCCGGCACAAACCAAAACTTAATGAAGTACACAAATCGAAATTCAATAACATTAAATTCTTTGAAGTTAACCTGCCATGAAGTGTCGTTCTTGTGTGAAGTCATAACAGTACTGTAGATAAAAAGAAACAACAAATTGTTAGTGCTCAACCTAATCTTGACTGGCTGCTAAGAAATATTTGTGCTAATTTGCACAAGAACAGGCATACATTGCAAAAAAATGTTACCAGCAATAATCTCTCTACATACCTTAAGCTTGATATCTTGAGTTGACATCTTTGGGACTGCTGCTGTGACATTTGGCTAACAAAACAAATAAAAACTTGTAACAATGTACGGCAATAGCTAGAGCAAACACAGGAAACCATGATATACAATATGTAAAATCAAATTAAATACTGACAAATAGCAACTATTTAGAGACAATTTGTCAGCACCAATGAACCAAAACACAATGAAGATGAATTAAAAATGGTCCCATGTGGATTCATGTTCATTGTGTTCTGGTTCATTGATACTGACAAATCTAAATAATAAATCTAARTAGCCGCAATTTGTTAGTATTAGTTTGATTTTATTTCAAGGTTTTCCTGCATTTGCTCTATTTGTGAACCTCAAAATAAGAGTTGTAATATTAATGAGATGGGATTGAAACTCTATGAATAAGAATTTTTGTTAAATGACTTACTGTGGATTTTTTCCAAAGAATATCGAACTTGCTATTTATTTGAAAAGGTAAACCTTCTATTCCTGGAGAAAGGACAAGATTATTTTAATGACAGAGGTATCATCATTATCATGTTTGTATTTATTGTGTACTATTCATCGTGTGTTATTAGCAATCAACAGCTGCCATTCAACAAATGGTTTTGATTGAAAGCTAAAGACACGCCATGAATTTTGTCTTTGTGTAAATGATAGTAATACCTGTTTGTGCACTCATTTTAGCAGCAGGCATTGCATGGTGCGGTGTGTAGTTAGGGAAAGATTGCATGTTTTGTTGTTGCCATGGTACTGGCATTGATGGTCCTGGAGCTTGTGGTTGACCAAACCTAAATGACAATGAACATTAAATTCAAAACTTTACAGTAAATGCTCCTGTCGTTCATACCATTGTTGTCCCACTGACTGCTGAGGAGCTACAGGATAGGAATAAGTTCCAGGTGCTGTTGTAGCAGGAGGTTGATACCTCATCACTGGCGCCATACGAAAACACACAAATAAATCATTGACGTCATTTCTAAAAATTAGAAAAGACAAGATGACTTCTCTCTTTTCCTCCTACTTCAATCAAATATTCAAGATTATGAAAAAAATGTATCAAATATCAAAAGCATCACAATTGATGTGACAATGATGTTAGCTAGTGCAGTTTTGTGTTCAAAATTATTGCCATGGGATGTAAATAAAATCCTAGGATGTTTTTATACTCTTATGAAATATACTTACGTAATTGTGTAATAGCCTGGAGGTGGTGTTTCACCCTTAGACTTGTTCACTAATGTCATATCACAAATTGCCTGGGTGGCTTGGTCTTTAGGCAAAACTCTGATACATAACTGGTGCTTCCTGAAAGCTTTTTCACTTGCTGAAAAAAAAATACAGTATACATTCAGTATACAAAGGCCAATTTAAATGATGTGACTAATTTCCATCAATGACTTGACAGAAAAGCATGTGTAAATGTCTCTAGAAACTCTGACACGTGTGTTCTATGATCTGTCGCAAGCTTTTCAACCTATTTTAGCTCAAACATAACCTTCAAGTTGCACAAAACAAGTTACACTGTGTAAACCGGCTGTAATGAATTTCTGAATTAACTTGGACACTTATATGAGATACAGAGAAACTGTATATAACAATGTAACTTACGGTCGTCAAATGCATTGGTGATTGCTGTGTATCCACGGGTAACGGGATCACCTTCATTAATGATTGACATATCAACAATGACATGTGAGCCAGGCTACAATGAGAAAAGAAAATAATAACTTTAATTGTTACTGGTGAAACTAGTAAGTGCGCTATTTGACAAATTGTCAGTTTGCGTTCCTTTAGCACCAACCTGTTTGGAGTAGCATATGTATCTCTTTCCTTTATGCCTCCAYGTACTCTCAAACAGCTGAGCATCATGTCCATTAACTGTCTTCTCCAACTAAATACAGAAATATAAGCTATATATAAACAGATGTATTTTACAAAGTACATATATGCAATCTTGTACATGAAGTAYATTGACGTAGTCATCATCAATTCTACAATTATAATATTTAATGTACACAATTGTCAATGTTTTAAGCTTGAATAAGGCATAATGAATCAACTTGCTAACAGCCGAAAGAAAAGAAAGCAATCTGTTGAAAGCATACGCAATAAAATAAGCTTTATACGATAATCCTACCAGGTAATATCCGCCCGGACATCTTTCCCTTTGACACACAATTTTCACCTCTGTCACGGGTTCATTAGGAACCTTCTGCATGACGGCAGAGAAAGGTCCTCTACGGCTACTTCAAACTCAAAATTAAGAGAATCGGACAACAAAAACTGTAGAAAAATGTAGAGAAAATAAACATAAAGGAGAAAATTTGCTAGAACTGTGATTGTAGTTCCTTTTGGGTGTATCCGCTGGTCAGAACCGAACGAAATCCGAATCGTTTCCGATATAATCTTGAAGTATAAGAATAGACAATTTTATGAAAATAAAAAGACTCTGGAAAATATTTATAAAAGAATAAAACATTTCTCCCTTGTAACAAGTTTACCTATGTCATGATTGCACAACAAATATTTCCAACATTTTGTCGTCAAGCTTTCGGAACTTCTCGGAAAGTATTCGTAATGTTCTTCGTGACGCGAAGGTAGTTGGCGTGTTGAGAGAATCAAGATGGCTACTGATGCATCACTTAGTCTACAGGAAATTTGCCATGAATCGCTAGAAAAAGGCGATATTGATTATTCAAATGAAGATGAAACGTTACACTTTGTGTCAGAGCCCCATGAAGATGAAYTAACTGACGAAAGCGGTCTAGATTTACAAGAAACATCGAACAATTCACCCGACATTGAAGGTATGAAAGACTAGATTCTCTCAAAATCTTCTCGCCTTTCGCGGGAGAATTGACATTGAAAGTTCAAAATCAAGTGCTCGATCGACCGGAATACAGCTGATTTTATATCGAATATTTGATTAATAAGTATAACGATGTCTAAATCACAATTTTATTGTAGAAATCGTCTTTAAAAACGTTCATCCCGAAGCGTGGCGTCTCTTGTTAAAAATTCGGATCTCGAACCAGTATCAACTTTGTGTTGTAACTTATTTAAGAGCTTAAAGGTTTATTAAAGCTTGTTTTGTAGATAATCTGATACAAAGTGTTTCCATTTTCAAATATTTTCTAAACCTTAATCTATCAATGAAAATCTATGTCATGTAACTTATTTTCGTTTATTTCAAATATCGATCATAAACATCGCTTGTTTTCATACGATAAATCTTTGAATTTTATGGTGGTTTTAATTGTACTTAATGGAAACCACTGACATTGATAGATCATTATCATCATCATATTTCATGAATCAGGAGTTATGATTGTAATTGACAATATTTCAGATGACGAGTTATCTCATGACCAAGAAGATGAAGTTACTAACATTACAACCACAGCAGCAACAACAGCTCTAGAYACATTAGTCCACACTGCGTGCCAAGATGTCAATCACCACAGGTCRTGCAGTGATATGTCTGTTAAYAGTACTGTTGCCGTCAGTACAAGCAGTCTAYTGGACTCTTCTGTTCCATCCACATCTTCATCATTATCTAGTTCAGAACATTCTCTAGAAGGGAATAATGCCATCATGGGTACAATGTTAGATGCTAATATGATAGCTGCTGTCAGTCAAGCTGTGAGGGGTACTGGTGTCAATGTACTTAGTCTTCCTACCATGGCATTCAAACAGATCGATACACCAAGTCAATCTACATGTAGTGAAGAAAGCTATTCTAAAGATGACCTAAGAGATTCAGATAGCAATGAGGTAAACTGAGCAAGTTTTACGAAGGTTGGACATTACACTATCCACTGGATAAATCCATATCTAGCGGATAAAATGGGCTTTTCTCGATGTATACAAAACAGGGTTCCCAAAGGGTTAGGTTTAGGGTAAGGGATAGGGTTAGGTTATATTGAGGTATATAGAACATATAATGAGTGTTTTATACATTGAGAAAGAGCCAATAAAATTCATACAAAATCCATTGGATAACTTTATCCAGCCTTCGTACAACCTGACCCTGCCGTACATTTCACAAAATATGCTAGATAATATCCTTAGTAGATGTACTAAATAAGACATCATTGAACACAGGACATTGAAGAATTTGAGGAAGAAGAATTAGAAAATTTTGATGGAATACGGAAGAGTGAGCGAAAGCGTAAACCGCCAAGACCTCGATCCCCAGAAGAAGAACCAAAGGTCAAGAGAAAGCGGAAAAGAAGTCATCGTGTGTCATCYTCTGGACAATCACAATCAGAAAYACCTTTTAAATGTGACAAGTGTGGCTCTCCGTATGTAACAAACCCTTCAAGGCGWGGYAATCGTTTGAAGACATCTACTCATCAGCCAAGCCCAAGACAYAAGATAGATCCTATAACTGGAAGGACRTTAACATTATGCAATGCTTGCGGTACAGTAAACTGATTCACGAATTTCTGTACCAGGTTCAGTGACCATGAACAAAGCATTGTACCGAGGTGTCAAGGAATACTGACCTTAGATCCTTTCTTTTATACTCGCCGTACCTTCACAGACACCTCGGTTTAATACTTGTGGTCACTGAACCTGAGTATGGAATATCGTAAATTGAGATATCTGGAATGTTTGATATACAATTGATACAGTTGATATTACAAGAGGGGAGGGGAGGGGGAAGGGAGGAGGAGGGGAGGAGAAGGGGGATTTTAGCAAGAGGATGCTTGTSTGACTKATGTTATTTTGGCAGGTCTTTCTTTTGATCGACCAAAGAAGCCACACAGAGAAAAACTCCTGCCAACACAGGAAGACAAGAATAACTACTTAGAAGAAGCCAAGAAGTTTGCAAAAAGAATTGCAGATGATATCAATGACCCTGATGGTAAGACAATGTCAAAAATGGTCTCCCTGTGGACACAGGAAGCCCATCGGTATTGATATGCTAACACACTTCTATGCTCTACCTTTTTCAGCTGAAAGGCTTTTCTGTCCATTGTTTAAGTCCAGAGCTTGTGGATGCTTACAAAAACACATTATGGGATCTGGTGAGTAAGTTGTCAAGTTGCCCAGTCCCTCTCTCAGCTTGGAAAGGCACAGGAAGTCCAAAACACAAACAGGCTTCAAAGGAAACTGCTATTTCTCCTGATTATTGACATGTTTTTCATTATTTTATTACAGAAAATGAGCTAGACATCAGTGAATCCAAAGCAAGAGTTGATGAATTGCTAGACTTCATGAAACAAGCCAGAGAACGGGCCAAAGAGAAATGTTATGATATGGAGGAAATCAGAAACAGACCTACGAAAAGTAAAAGGTATGCCTTATAATAACAACTATCAATAYTACAGCATGCATTATATCAAAACAATCTACAACTTAACACAGTGTGCTGAATGTCTATAGCAAGTGGAAAAGAGGCAGAGACATAAAAATTAATGTTAACTGTATGCAACATATAGAAGTGGGAGAAACATGTAGAGGGAAGGAATGATGTTGAATAATACATGTATTTTTACTTGACAGGTCAAAGAATATTGGCCTTGGAAATGGACAAAGAAARTCAAAAGGCTTTGAAGACTTTGTRCTGGATAAAAGAAAGTACCTTCGTGAAACTTTAAAGTTGTGTGAAAGAGCAACACAAAAAGTTTTGCTTTACTCTAATAACTTCCTGCACAAGAAATTAAAAACAGATCCAACGGTATGTTCTACATAACTCTGAAACATAAGACAAGTGCAAAGTTTGCAAGATGATTCTCGTATATAAATAAAGTTTGTAATAGAAAAGAATTAAAGCTCTTATCAGTGTTTTCTTACCTTGTTTAGAAAGCTGTACGTATTGAAAGAAAGAAAGGCAAAGCAGCACTGGGAAAACTCAAGCCTTTTGATGAACTACAGAATGAAAAATGCTGTGTTGACAACTGTATTACGGTGAGTTCATTTAGMAAATGAAAACCGTTCATGTTCATYAAGATTTTCTTCAGTGATTGCTGTAGAAGTAGTAGGGATGTAGAATACAATTAACACCTGACTAGGGTCTGCTACTGTCTTAAAGWGAATTTCTATCCCATTKTRYAGATTGCTCARTCMCACAGCAAACTCCTTCAACAGTGGAGAGATCGTGCYGTATCTGGACAAACCGAAGCTCGCCGAGTTCTAGCGGAAATGTTGACACCTTCAGGAGGAGCTCGTTCAAACTGCTATAAGTTCATATCATGGGTGACKGGATGTAGCCACAGTACTATTGGAAGAGTTAATGAACAAATGAAACAAACCAGTAAGTAAAACCTTCCAAAAACAACTTTACCTGGCATTATACACTGCACTAATATCTTACCTATTTCCAGGAAATATTTTGTAAGATGTTCATGTTGTAAATTGTAGCTCCTGCATCAAGTTAGGCAATTTGTTCAAAACATGGTGCTTGTTGTAATGTTTATGTCTGGAATGGTTGTGTTCATGATTGCTATCAATACCATACGTATACCAGACATTGTATTAACTTCTCTGTTTCTTTAAGGTGGTGACCGTGAACCTCCAACACATGGACTCATCAAATGGTGGAAAGAAAATCCAAAGCCAAAGAAACAAAAACCAGTAAAACATGTTCCACAACAGGTTGACGCAGTACAACAAGTAGCCTTACAACAGATACAACAAACCAAYATACCACAAGTTGCTAATATTTTACAAGCTGCTGTCAGCTCAGCTGGATTGACAGCTGTCATGATGCCCTCCATGGCAACCACAGTTCCCTTGGGAACTGTGAGTACCAATGCTCTCACTCAGCCTCAGATCTCCACCATCATGCTCAACAATGGGACTATTCAAATTCAAACACAGGGAACCCAACAAGCTGCTACACCTCAGGTTCAACAAATGCAGCTGCAACAACAACAGTATGAACAACAATTACAGCAACTGCAGCTGCAGGCCTATCAACTTCAGCAGCAACAGCAGCAAATACAACAGCGTCTCCAACAAACACAACAACAATTACAACAGGCACAACAGCAGCAGCAACATCAACAACAGCAACAACTTCAACAGTCTTTGCAGCATTGTCTCCAACAACAACATCAACAACAACAGCAAATCATCCAGACGCAAGCACAGGAAATCCATGTCGTACAACAACATCCACAGATGGTCCCACAAGACGGCASTCCGAGAGACGTCCAACAGGATGCCCAACAAACAGTGGCAAACATCCCAGTCTCAAATATAGTCACTGTTGCTATACCAACAAGCATGGCTGTTTCTCAGGCAGCGTCATTAAACACTGAGCCTTTCTTGTCACCAGAGGTTCTCCAGTTGGCATTGAATCAAATACCTCCTCATTTGGTCATACCTGTGTCAACMAATAACAATGTGACCCAAGCTGTACCTGTCTCTCTTATACAAACCACTCAAAACTCCCTTTAATATCAKCACAAATAGTACAGAAAAAAGAACGAGTGAAATTAAGGGAAAACTTTACAGTATATGAAATAGAAAAATACCAACTAATTTCACACTTATACAAGTGACTTACGCAAACTTGGACAATGTGAATATTCTCAACAAAAAAAAAAACCAGAAATGTCATCAGTGTCTTAAAAAATATTTAACAATCAAATCTATTTGACTCTGGTCTCTTCCTTTAAGGAAAGTCATACAAAATAATAATTAGTCTTGTGGCATAATTCAATGGTATTAATTAAATGTATTTAGTGTGTAAAGAAACCCATTGTAAAATATGAAATATATTTTATTATTTTGCTTAATTTATTTAATCAAAATTAAAATGAAAAGCTTTAATTGCAACAGAATAGTTTTGTTTGAGTATAAATTACTGTGAAATTTTGCAGTGTAAAATTTAATTAACACATATTTGAAAGAAGGGTATAAAATGACTCTACACTTACATTCAATATAAAGGTTCAGATTGTAAATAAGGTAGACTCATTTTACATTTTGTATTTGTCTTAAACACGCCTTGAAAAAGAAGACAGAAAAATAAAGACAAAACATTTTAACTAGAGCAAACACAGGAAAACCATGAAATAAAACAAAATATTTAGAGACAGTATCAATGAACCAGAACGCAATAAATTCACATGATACCATTTTTAACTCATGTTGATTGCGTTCCGGTTCATTGATACTCTGAATTGTCTCTAAATATCTGCTATTTGTTAGTATTTATTTATGGTTTTATTTCATGGTTTTCCTAGGTTTCCTCCAATATAAACAAAACAAAAGCACGGTAGCATGGTTATGGCTAATCATTTATTTGGCTAAATKTCTTGTTATTCAGTATACATGTATTTTAGAATGACAATTGATAACCAGCTTAATTTTGATTCGATGACGGTCTGAAACGAGAAGAAAGATCAGGTGTTGTGAATACTAGCACAAGATTACATTATTTAAAACCACCTTATATGAACCAACCTTATATGAACCATGAAATGATACCAAATTTGTTAACTTTTACTGGCTRCTTGTTGTTATATTTCAACAATAAACACTGTTAGTAATGAATCCAAGAAACTTACTTTGCCCATTCGACATTGAGAATCAAGTGATCGTATCCAAAGCCTTGTAAGGTCTTGATAGCCCTGGCTGCATCTTCTCGGTGAACAAAATTGATAAATGCAAATCCCTGCAGCGAAAGAATGAGAGATATTTATTCACCCTTGGTGTAGACTTAATCCAGGCACAGGAAGTCCAACAAAAGAAAAGAGAAGTGACAAATCAGATGTGGAGTAGAGAGCAAACAAGCTGGCAAGAAAAGTGAGAAATTGACCTTTGATGCATTTGTGACTTTATCTTTAGCCAAGAATATTCTTGATATGGGACCAAATGGCCGGAAGAGACTCTGGAGATCAGATTCAAAGGTCTCCACAGACAAGTTTGTGACTCTTATTGTTGCAGTTTCATCTAATYAAAAACAAAAATACACCATTACAGATCTCAAGAACAATAATACAAAGACACAAATAAAAGTGGTGCACTATRTACTAGAATGAGCAATGTTGGGCATACTATACATGTGTTTAYGTACCTCTTTGATTACGCTGCATGCTGTCCCCACCACGTCTGTTGGCACCTTCTCTTAACCCTGGTGCAACGTATTTCCCTGTAGATGAGCTWGCTGCTGGTTGGTTATCAGGTTCTGATGGAGGAGTACCCGCTATTGARCTAATTAAGGAAAKAAAACTCTAACCACATCCTCACCCACAAGACTGATTAATTGATTGAKTRAMTRAYTGRMYGTGTGAATAACTGGATCATCACTGACTGACTGAATGACTTAATGGATGATTGACATCTTTTGTGACTGAATGATTGACTAAATGATTGCTTATTTCAATGATTGCTTGAGTGATTAAGTGAGTGATTGATAGATTCATTAATTGACTGCTTTAACTGTAAACTACTRCAATGCAAGGATACGTTGTCCAGCTTCATCTTCTTTAAGTTGTTGTTGAATATTTTCAAGTTGATCTTTGTAAGGACATTTTGTTGTCCAATGGTCTCCTTTGCAAATACGGCAACACACAATCTTTTGGGTTGACAGTTTCTTTAATGGATCATCATCATGGCTATTGTCTGGATTCTRTAGTAGGAAAAATATCATATCATGTCATAAATGCTTCATTATTTAGTAAATAAATGAGTATGAGGTACAAGATAAACARTCAAAATTGTCAACTGACCTCTTTGTTTGTCATCAAAGTCAAGAAGACATCATCACCGATGATTGTTGTTGATGTATCAGGGCCAGGTTTGTCATTTTTACAGTCYCCAAATTTCCGCCATGACTGATAAACAAAATTGAATCAATACAGTAAGTAACTATCTTATAAGATGATATAACCTAGATAAAAAACAAAAGAAAAGCTKTCAATTTTARTGGCTCAGTCATGTATTGACTAAGTGAGTTTTTTGGCTACAAGAAGGTTAATTCAGTATACTATACCTTTCTCAAAGCTATGTCTTTAGGAACTTTGATAGTTTCTACTCTGTATGTAGTAACAACCTATAATCATAACAAAAATAATCATTTATCATATTGACAGMAATGGTCATCATCATCATCATTCCTGTTACGCCTAGGTGGCATGTAGGGCCGCTACTAAGAATTTCAACAGCAATGGTAGCTTATAGATAATTCATGAGACAATGTGACTATTTATACTACATAATATCTTCCAACCTTTTGTAGTTTTCCATCTTCATCTCTTCTGTATTGTGTTACAATCTTTTTGTCGCCTTCTGTAACCTCTGTTCTCGCTGGCAACTGACCTTGAACATTCAAAAGTAGAAATGTCAATTGATGCTGACCAAACTATGTCCTTTGGTAGGATTAAATCATGTCATGTATGTGCATGTCACTGTTCAATCCCAACGTATGGAAGAAAWATATCAAATATTATATATAAAAGTTCTGGTTATTACTAGAAGGAGTTCCATTTTCGCCAGCCTCTTCTACCAAATCAGCCCAGCTTGGTTTTTCTCTGTAATAAAAAATATTTCTTAGCGATACTGTATAATGTAAATAACAGTCCCCAAAAAATTAAGCAACTACTGATTACAATATTCACCGGCACAAACGGATCGAGACATCGACAACAAAGAAAGCAATGAAAAACGTAAAACCATCAATTAACCCTCAGTTTTCGCCGGTGGTCTCCGAATATATTGTCATGTGTTCATTTTCTTGCTCATAATTTACGCTTTCTTCATAAACATATTGATAAAAAAGAGTATAACATTTAAAGGAAACTTACTCTGTTTCAGCATCAATCGCCGGCATTTTATGAATCCTTTTTGGAGTTCAAAAAATCAAATTTTTGACGACGAAACTCCTGTYTTATTTCACCACGTTATCTTTCACTGTGAGCCCGCGATTACCACAACAGAAAGCATGCGCGAARCTACCATMATCCTTTGCAAGGGGAAATTCAAGATGGCGGACGATGTRAGTAAATCTTGTAAACAAGTTTATTTTCCAAAAAAYTGGCARGARATTTGAATAGATGTTGTCTTTTTATTTCAAAACAGGTCACGGATGATTCAAAGAAGAAGCGCAAGAAGAAAGGTTTGTAAAATCAAGATTTTCTTTGAGGAATTTTGTTTGTTTACAAATTTATTGTCGTGCTCGTTGATGCACGTGGTTTAGAGGGTCTTTCAGAAAAATCGTTTTTCATGTTCAGATAAACATAAAAAGAAGAAGAAGAAGATTAAAGCTGATGATAATAATGGTGGATTCGTAGAAAAAGAGATCCAGGTTTCACAATCATCAGAAACATTGGATGAAAATCACAACAAACAAGAAAAATCTCGAGGTTTGATCGACATGACATCTCATCAGCTGTCATAACATGCTTATATTACTTGAAGAGCGTTAATGTTTTCATCTATTTTAGGGAGATCATTCACTGTTAGTATTGCATTACCTGGTTCAATTCTTGAGAATGCTCAGTCACCAGAGCTTAGGACGTACTTGGCTGGGCAGGTAAAGGAAGTGAAGCACACGTATGATCAATAGATGAGGTGACGGTTTTGTCCGCCATTTTGGACCGGTAGGCATAGTGTCGCAAGGAATGACCGGGAAATCGATGTCAAATAATTCTCGCTGAATTCAAATTAAGAAAGAATTATCATTTGCAAACGTTAGATACTGCAAAAAGGAATTAACTGGCCAAATTTGAAAGGCCTACTTGATCTAGAGAGCGAGTAAACTCATTTTTAGTTCTCCATACATTTCTTTGTAATTTCAATACATTTCGTTATAATTTCCGGGGTCATCAGTGCGTGACGCGCGTGAAAAATACAAAGAAATGTATTGAGAACTAAAAATAAATTTTCTCGCTCCCTAGACGAAGCACATCCTTCAAATTTGGCCAGTCAGCTCCTTTTTGTAGTATCTAACGTTTGCAATTGATAATTCTTTCTGAATTTGAATTCAGCGAGAATTATTTGACATCGATTTCCCGGTCATTCCTTGTTATTTTGCGACACTATGCCTACCGGTCCAAAATGGCGGACAAAACCGTCACCTCATCTATTG